AGTTAGGGGCAGGGGTCCCAGGAGGGGGCAGTCAGGGGGACAAGGAACGGGGGGAGGGTTGGGGGTTCTGGGGGGGCGGGAAGTGGGAGGGGCTAGGGCGGGGCTCCTCCCGTCCTCTTTTTTGCTTGTTGAAATATGGTAACCCTATCTAGGACCCCTAGAAAAGGGGGGATTCTCTACGTACCTGGGATTGTCCTAACGGGCTGTTGTATTAATTTACATGGAAAATATAGGTTAAAAGTGCTAACGTAACCCCGTCACTGTCTAACCTTAAATTGTGTTAAACACAATCAGGGGCTTGGAATACAGACACCTCCGCTTGTTTAGTACCTTGGCAAACACACCATTAAAAATCATTTTATCTTTTTATACAGTAGAACCTCCGAGTTACAAACGCCTCGGAAACTGAGGTTGTTCGTAACTCTGAATTGTTCATAACTCTGAACAAACATTATGGTTGTTTCAAAAGTTTACAACTGAACATTGGCTTAATACAGCTTTGAAACTCCTGTCCCTTTATTTTTTTAGTAGTTTACGTTTAACCCAGTACAGTACTGTGGGGGGTTTTTTGTTTTTTTTGTTTTTGTTTTTGGTCTCTGCTGCTGCCTGATAGCGTATTTCCAGTTCCAAATGAGGTGTGTGGTTGACTGGTCAGTTTGTAACTCTGGTGTTTGTAACTCTGAGGTTCTTCTATAAAAGATAAAGAAAAAAAAGGAAAAAAGTTAAAGCATTTGACATGTAAAGTATTAATCAGGCTTTCATTTTAACAAGATTCCTCTTTCCCTTTAGTTGGGGACAGTTTTTAGAAGGAAAAATCCCCTGGTTTGATAGTCTCTTAGATAGTAACAAAGATGATAAAAGACCAATTATTGGGTAAAAGAGAAGAAGTTAGTTGAGAAGGGCTGGGTTAGTTGCTGCTGCTGTTAAAATCCAATCCTGTTTAATCTGAGAGGCTGTTTGGAGCTGGTAGGGGTGACAGTGTCCTCTGGATCCCTCTCTCTGGTGTGGGCTGGTCAGGACATGTCTCAGGCAGGGCTGGATTTGAGGGCAGGTGACTGTATGGGGTGCTGGGTTTGGGGGACGCCGGGCTTGGGGGTTGCTGTTTTTGTTAGCGACAAAAGAGAAAATAGAATGTTTGAAGTAACATGTTTCAGGTATTCCATATGTGGATTCATTTTTCACTAACCGCCTAGAATGTTCTGGACCTTTGTAGAATCTTGTGGAACCTTCTAGACATTCTGAGAATTTTCCTCCAGCCTCCTAGAATGTTGTCAGCCGCACCCTCATGAGTAGATAAGGGGCAGGGCATCGCCAGTCAGTTCGTTCTTATATCTCACAGACTGAAGTGAGAGCCCAGCTGCGATATTGTGAACCTTGTTTTATTGTGTCATTGTGAACATGTACTTGTGTTTTTAAGACTTCAAGAGTGTGAAATGGGCTAAAAGTCCAATAAAGTTTAACAAATGGGGAGTGGAGAGCGCCAGAGACTCACCTCGCCTGGGGCGCCGTTTGGTCTAGGGTCGGCCCTGGTCTCGGGATTAGGATGAAGAAGGTCTAGGGTCCCAGGAGATGGAGAGGATGAGAGCAATGATGGTGAAGCACTGCTCCAGTAGCCTCTATCTGTTCTTCCATCTTTTCCTTTCAAAGCCTCTTTCTTTAAGGACCCAAAAAGGGAGTGATGGGTGCACTAGCCCATCCCCTTATTATTTTTCCACCAATGAGGCCTAATATATGTTCATTTAGTTACTTTCCGGTTCCAAGTCTTCTGTTTTCAACAAGCAGGATTTCTGCACAGTCCTTGAGTTATATCAGGCGGCCTTTTTTGTAGACTAATTCACTCTGTCTCCCTTTCGTACCTTTTTGCCGTCACCATTTGTTATTATAGGTTATGTAACTTTCACATACTTTTTACAGTTGAGATCCCAATTAGCATAAATCTGTGGGCCCAATTAGCATAACAGCCCAGCTCATGTATTCCCCTTTTCTCTCTTTAATTATGAAATAATCATATAAAAATCTCTCACCTATTGACCTTTTTCGTTCCTGAATGATCAGATACTCTATAAAATCCCTTCAGATTTGACCCTTTTTTTTTGTCCAGTTATCAAATGATTGTATACAATTCCCTTAGATTTTCTCCTTTGTCTCTCCTTTTTTGAATATTAATATCAAAGCCTCTCTGTTTTTGCCATTTGTCCCCCTGTAGTTATCAAATATTGATATACGCCCTTTCTCAGATTTGAGCAGGTTTCCCCACCCTTTTCTGACTGTACCAGCTTCGTGTTTTGGAGGGAAATTATTTCTCTGGTTCACTCCCCAGAAGGGATGTGGGAGACAGGGCCTAATTATCTAGAATGAATTTAATACCCCTTTTATGTTTTGCCCCTTTTCTCTCATTATCTGATATTAATTAAAACACTATGTCCTCCGACGTTCTCAACTTCATCTCAATGGCATATTGATCTGAAACCACTACTTTCTACCCCTTTCTCCTTAATTTTTCTACTCTCAGATCCAATCTCCCCACACTTTGCCACTTGCCCTCTATTTTTTGATTATTGATGTAAAAATCACCTCAGGATTTGGATTTTTCCCCACCCTTTTGTTTTGGCCAAGTTTGCCGCTTGTGCGCCCCTGCCCCCCATCTCTGCTCCCTGTGTCTGTAAGTCCCAGAGATGCCACTGTTACTGATGACACACACACCAGTTAGCACTTGTGGGAGCTGATCTGGTTATGAGAGCATGAAGGGCAGGCCACAGTGAAAGGAATACTAAGAGGACCTATCCTTTCCCCTGCCCCCCCCCCTCCGCCCCCCAGCTAGAGGAGAAAGGAGACAGAAAGGGAGAGAGACTGAACAGGGCAGCAGGAGCAGTAAATGAGGAGAGAGGTTCCCAGCTCCTAGGCCGGCCCAGATCTATTCCCTGCATCATCCCTGGGCAGATTGATTTCCAGGGAGGGAGGGAGGGAGGTGAGGAGCAGAGGGAGGAAAAGCCAGTTTCTGTCTCTGCCGAGTCCCCGTGCTGCTGGGAGGACGTGCTCCCCCAATCCTCCAAAGCAGCCCCTTTGATTTTGCTCTTTTCTACCGTTTGGCTCAGCGACTCTGTTACTGGGAGCTGCTAGAAATGTCTCAGTGGGTTTAGTCCCGGTAAAAGTGACCCAGCATTTTCCTAGCCTGCCGGAGTCTAGAGCCTCTGTCTGCAGGGAAAGAACCAAGAGGGAATTGGGGTGTGAAATGAACTCAAGCCCCTTCTGAAATATCCTGTTGCCCTGCTCATCCTGACAGGTTGCAGAATCATGTCCACGTTTTGCTCGCGATTGTCCCATCCTCCCAGTGGATGGGGAAGGAAAATGACTGGCTCAGGCTGGGGATTTTCAGGGAACTGCTGGGGGCAGGGCAGAGGGAGTCTTGAGGGGCAGAGGCAGGAAATATATAGGGGGAGAAAGTGGTGGGGGGAGGGCAGGTTACAGGGTGGGATAAACTGCTGGGATGTGTTCAATCTGGGGCCTGATTTTTGGAGCAAGCCCATGGGGGAGGTAAATTCCACCATTTGATGAACAGGGAACAGCCCCACCAGACAAGGCTGGGAAAACAGACCAGACTCCCAGTGCTGGAGTCTGAACCCACTAGGAGAGGCTGCTGTGGAATACAAAGGGGACACCCAGCGGTGAGGCCCCGGGGAGAGGCCCTGTCCTCTCACCCCCAGCTGCTGGGAATAGGAAGGGGGTTGGGATTCCTGTCCCTGGACCCTGCTCGAGGGCTCTGCCCTCCCGTACCAGCCTCTGGCTAGTAGGCCTGAGATAAATAGGAAGGCCCCTGCCCTCCTCCATTGGCTGGGAGGGACAAGGGGGCTCTTTCTCCCCACCCTGAAGCCTCCTGGCTGCTCTGAGTAGGACGAGGGTGGAATTCTGCTTCTCTGGCCCTCCCAGAGCTTCCATTTTATCAGCCTTCTCCCCCATGACTAGTGGGATTGTGGCTGGGGCAGCAGGTGCTGAGTGGGGGACTCTTGTTGTTTCAGATGCCGGTGACCTTCGAGGAGGTGGCTGTGTATTTCACCCAGGGGCAGGGAGCTCTGCTGGGCCCTGCTCAGAGAGCCCTCTACAGGGACATCATGCAGGAGAACTACGAGACGGTGAACTCGCTGGGTAAGGGATTCCTTCTTCCTGTGGTTATTGGAAACTGCCACATCTGTGAGGTGCCCTGTTGAGCATCTACTCAGGTTCTTCTGTGCTTGCTTCAGTGTTGGGGGAGTGGGCTCCGTCTTCCCTAGCTCCAGTCGGAGACAGAGTTGAAACTGAGATCGGGGAGACAGAAACATATGTATAGCGGAATCAGTCAATCAGGGTGGCTGCAGGAAACTTGCATAGATCTTTCCTTCTCCTCTCCAGTGCTGAAGCTGTTTTCACAGTAGAAGAGCAGGTAGGCAGGAGCAGAAATTGTAATAAGGCGACTCGCCTCCCTTCTGCTCCCCTGCTGCTCCCATCCCGTTTCCTTCCTTGCAGCACCAGGCCTGGGAGAGGGGGCATGTGATGGGGTCCCTGGAGTGAAACCTAGAACTGGGATACCACTGGACTCCCTGTCCCTGATTTTGTGACAAGCTGCAGACTTAGATGTCCACAGGCAGGGACACACCCAAGTTATATGAATGCTTCTCCCAGCCACTCATGAACTAAAATAGAGAGGCTTCAGCCAATTCCTTCCAGCACCTCAGCATAGTACCCCTGAGCTGCACCGTCCTGCCCTGGTCAGAAGCCTAACCAGTGTAAGGTCATTACCCAGGCCACCCCTCCTTCAGTGTGGAGAGGATGTGCACCAGCCTTCGTACCTGAGCTGAGATTTCCCCAGCACCTCAACCAAACCATGCTGTTTTAAGTAAAGTATAAAACAGATTTCTTAACTAGAGAGAGAGATTTTTTTATTAAGTGATTAGAAGTGGTAGGTATAAAAAATTGGAGAAAGTTACCAAAGAAAATAAAATAAAAATGTACGATCTAAACCTTATTACATTAGGCAGTATTTAGATCAGTTTTCTTACTCCACTGGGTGTTTAAAGTTCTTAATACACAGACTTTTCCTTAAGCCTGGACCAGTCTCCTCAGATGATCTTTGTCGTCTTGGCATTCCTCTTGCTTCCAGCATAGATAGGGGAGGAGAAAGGCAGAGACATGTTGCAACTGATCCTTGTATAATGCCATCATTCCATATGCCTGAGAGACAGTTCATAGATTTGTAGAATGTCAGGGTTGGAAGGACCTCAGGAGGTCATCTAGTCTGACCCCCTGCTCAAAGCAGGACCAATCCCCAGACAGATTTTTGCCCCAGATCCCTAAATGGGCCCCCTCAAGGATTGAATTTACAACCCTGGGTTTAGCAGCCCAATGCTCAAACCACTGAGCTATCCCTCCCCTGGACATGTCCCAGTGAACTCAACTGAGTCACAGTGATCAAGTAATCCCCCATTGTGTGGACTTGAGCAACTGTCATTGAATTGTAAATCCCTTGATTACAACTCCCCTGATCATTAATGGTTGTGGGGCACCCTCCTGGGCAGGGTCCTTTGTATGTCACTAGCAAACTTACAGTATATTTCAGTAACAACCATACAGCACAATCTCAACTTTATACACACTAATGATACACATATTCAGACAGAACAATGGGTTTCAGCAGATCATGACCTTTCATATGATATATGGCATGCTTTGTATGAAATATCACAATTACATGACAGTGGTGATTATGGGGGATACAGGTTGCTATTTTGAGGTGCAGTGTCTCACAGGGTGAAGAACCTCTGGAGCTGTAGGAAAAGCAGAGGTGGGTCGGCAGAATTGATGGGGGGGGGCTGAACTGATGTGGGAGATGGGGCAGAACAGGTAGGGCGGAACGCATACAGGGTTGGAGGGGACAGGCAGATGTGGTATCATTTTCATTTTTGTTGAAAACGATGGACCCCACACACACCCTTTCTCAGACCACTTTCAGTGCTGGTCTCTCAGATTCTTAGATATGGCAGTTCAACATCCTTGATCTTCCTGGGCTGGAGGAAATGTCTGTTCCCAGTGTCCCTCAAGCTCCCAGGCCCAAGGCACCTCAGGCGTTTGCCCTGGAACCTGGAAGGTTTTCCCTTCTGGAGCATGAATGTTCAGGAGAACGCATGGACTTCCTGCTCAAATCTAGAAACTGCCCACACACCTGGGCTTTTCTAGGGATTCAGATAACTGCATCTTCATGGTGCTCTTGACAGGACAAGAATCCTATTTTGTCTCACAACCAGGGGGAATATAGGATCTCTTTCTAGACAGGTTCTTGATTGGGTCTGAGTACTAGCTTAGGTCATTTCCTTTCCAAAACAGCACAATACTTAATTCAGGTAATTTTGCCATATATCCCTGGTCTTCAATGTATTCTCTTTCCTGACACTGGGAAGAGATGGGGTGTTTGTCTGAAATGCATTTGGACAAAGAGTTCTGCGCTCTCTCTCTTGGTTTTTCGTCATATCTTGGGGGAAGTAAGAGGAAAAAACAAACCCTACATTATGGTTTTCCTGTTGGTTCAATTTTCTTTGATCTTTTAAGTTTCCCTCTTGTTTGTGGAGATTGGTTTTAGTATTGGCTACTTCCCTGCCGTAATGGATCATTGATCACCAGGTACCTAAGAAGGAGAAAGGTAAAAATTATCCACCCATCCATAGTTTCCCCTTCTCTGAAGTGGGCTCTGGTGCTCCATGAGACCCGACAAAAATTTTACATTAAATTCCAGTTGAAGGGGAAATGTCTCAATCCTTCTTTATTTCCTCCATGGAACCTTCCAACAGAGAGGTGGAGAAAACTTAGGATTCCCACCTTTTGGGATCTTGCTTTGCTGTAAACCTTCATTTCTGTTTTTGTGTACCAAATGAATAAGTAGATGAAGTATCCTGCCTGGAGATGGCGAATCTTCTGTAAAGTTTATTCATCAGAACTTTACTCCTGGGGGAATTCTGTGCTAAAAAAATTCTGCACTCATTATTTTACAATTCTGAAAAATTCTGCATATTTTTTGTCCAAATAACACCCTATAATCATGCCAGTTTCAATTATTTTGATAATTTATTTCAAAATGTCTCTCGGCAAGTATGTCTGTAACAATAAAGACCCCCAAAAAAAGATTCTGGTAATTGTCTCTGACAAGTAGATTCCTTACCAGGCATACAGTAACTCCTCGCTTAACATTGTAGTTACGTTCTTGGAAAAGGTGACTTTAAGCGAAATGATGTTAAGCAAATCAAATTTACCCATAAGAATTCATGTAAATGGGGGGGAGGGGGTTTAGGTGCCAGGGATTTTTTTTCACCAGACAAAAGACATTATTACATATACAGTATAAGTTTTAAACAAGTTCTAATCTTGTCTGGGGACCTGCTTATGAGCTCCCTGAGCTTCTCCTAAAGCAACCGTGTTGATATCAGGTGGGATATTTCCCAGGGAATGCCTTGCTGCTAAATGATGAACTAGCACTCGGCTGAGCCCTCAAGGGTTAACACATTGTTGTTAATGTAGCCTCGCACTACAAGGCGGCATGTAGGGAGGCAGAAGGGAAGAGACACAATAGATGCAGGGTTGCAGCTGTAAACACTTCCTTGGGGAAACTGAATGTGATGGTGAACCCACACTATCCCTCTGGAGCGCACCATTCCCTCCTCCGGACAGCGCATGCACGGCTGCACAGACATCAACTTTCCAAAGTACCCGGAGGGGGGAAGAGTGCTCAACTCCCAGCTCTGCCTGGCCCCACTCCACCCCTTCCCCCAATGCGCTCCTTTCCCCCCAGAGCCTCCTGAACGGTAAAACAGCTGATTGCTGTGGGTGGGAGGCGCAGGGAGAGAGGGGGAGTTGCGGGGCCGCCGAGAGGCAGGAGGTGTTGTGGGGGTGGAGGGGAGCAGATAGGGGGGCTGCCAGTCCACCCTGGTTCCAAGCCCCCACTACCAAACAACTTTATAAGGAAATATTGTGCAACGTTAAATGAGTATGTTCTCTAATAGGTCAGGGACAAAACAGCGTTAACCGGGACGTCATTAAGTGAGGAGTTACTATATTAATACAGAACTTTTTTCCCCCACAGAAAATACATTCTGCCCCTGAAGTTCTGCTTTTTGCCCACCAGAGGCTGCTGTAGCACCAGAACAGCCGGCTGCGTTCATGCTGCTTGCCGTTCTGGCACCACAGCGGCCTCTGGTGGGCAAAAGGCTAAACCGCAGCAGTTCTTGGGCAGAAAAGTATTTTCTGTCGGGGGCCAAAAATCTGCAGGAGATATGAATTCTGCACATCCGCGGAGGCGCAGAATTCCCACAGGAGTAGAACTGATAGCTCGTCTTCTCAACTTTGGCATTTGTCTTGAGAGTTAGCAAGACAAAATGTTCACAGAACACCTCCATCTTCTGGCACGACATTGTGACGCTAGAAAAAATTATTTTATCTCCATGCTCCTAAAATGAAGAGGAGTAACCCAGTTGTAATGGATCACAGCACCAGGGGCTCACTTCAGAGAAGGAAAACTTGCAGACAGGTAAGTAACTTTTATCTTTCTCAAAACCCCATCAGTTCTTGTGTTTTCTTTCTTCTCTTTGCTGTTCCCCTTTGACTCTAGCACTGGGAATGACCCTAGTCTGAATTCTCTCTGTATCCTAGCAGGTGAAGAGATGCTGAGAGAGAATGAAGAGGAGAATCTCCAGTAGGGAACCCCTAAGCAAGTGGGACGTTATCAGGAAGATCTAAATGGAACAGTTCCTGGAGCGTTGACCACGAATAATCTTGTGAGAATCATTGCAGGTCAGAGGGACAGCAGAGAAACCAATTGTGGAAGGAAGTAATCCATTACTTGTGGGGAATGGTGCAAAGACCTCAAGGAAACCACAGCCCAGCAGAGAATCCACACACAAGAGAGAAAAAATACACACACAACGCACGGCAAAAACTTCAGTTTGAGATTGCACTTTATTAGACACCAGAAAACACACACAGGAGAGAGACTCTATAAATGCTTTGTGTGTGAAAAAAGATTTAGTGACAACTTGCACCTTATTGGACATCAAAGAATTCACACAGGCGAGACCCTATAACTGCATTGACTGGGAGTTGGTTTGGCGACAGAAGCACACTTTATTATGCATCAGAATATACCCACACAGTAGAGAAACCCTACAAATGAATTTATGATGAGAAACATTTTTTTTCAGCGCTCACATCACAGAATCCATACAGGAGAGAAAACATATAAATGCCAGGCCTGTGGGATAAATTTCAATCGGAGGTCAAACCTAGCTTGATATCAGAGAGCTCATACAGGAGAGATGCCCTATAAATACCTTACTGTGGGAAAAATTGTAGTGACAACTCACAACTTATTACACATCAAAGTGCCCACATGGGTGAGAGACCCTATAAGTGCTTTGACTGTGGGAAATGTTTCCTTCAGAGCGCACATCTTATTGCGCATCAGCGAACCCATACGGGAGAAATGCCCTATAAATGCCCCGACTGTGGGAAAAGCTTCAATCGAAGTTCAAACCTGGAGAGACACCAGATAGTCCACCTACAAGAAAAACCACATAAATGCTTTGACTCTGGGGAAAAAGTTAGTGATAAGTCACAACTTGCTCCACATCACAGAAGCCACTCGGAAGCAAAACCGTATGTATGCAAGGACTGTGGGAACAGTTTCATTCAGAGCTCAGATCTTATTGTGCATCAGAGAGTTCATACAGGAGAAACACCCTATAAATGCCC